TAAACCCCATGTGCTGGGGATGGGCTTCAAAAGAGTCAGGGAGGTGTGGGAGGCTCACAGTAAGTGAATATTGGGCAGTGTCCCTGAGAGGGCATTTGAGCCAACACCTGTACTCTCCAGGTGGGAAACTGAGGCCCAGAGAGAAGAAGGCACTGGCCAGGGCTAGAGAACTCTGGTGTTCAGCTGCCAGCCTGTGCCAGTCTTCCCAGACCTCCAGTAAGGGTGCAGTGATAATCTACCTTGCTTTTTTCCCCAGGTCTGTCCTAAGGATAAAATGAACGAGAGAAGAGTTTGTCAACTGTTAAGTGCTGTGCCCCTGAGCGTAAGTGATGGATAAAGTCTCGACTGTCTGCTCAGGGTTTGGGGTTCAGAGAACAGTGGGTCTCAGCTGCAGGTGCTTAGAAGCCTGAGGGACCAGAGAAGGGGTTGAGGGCTGAGCCTCGGAGACAGGTGGGCTTGAGCTGGGATCAGCTTTGGACTGACCTGCCCCAGATCCTGAATCAGCTCATGGGAAGGGGTCAGGCAGCAGAATGCTGGCACAGGCACTCATGAGTTCAGAGCAGAGTGTCCTAGCTCATGAGATTGCTAGCTTGGCCCCTTTTCTGGAAGCTCACACCCCACTTCTCTGTATTCCTGGCCAAGGAGAGGCCTGGGAATTCAATGAAGCCCCAGTGGGATGCTCCCCAGGTCCTAGCCCAGGATGGGGTTTCACTCTGCCCTGGGGAGTGGTTGTGTGCCCCAAAGTACGTAGGCCTGAATGGGGAGCCCACTTGCTTCCTGCTCCACCTGAGCCCTTAGCACATCTCCCGTATCCCTCCTATATCAGCACATAGATTTGAAAGCAGAGGAGAGGAATCACCCCACATGCCTTGTAATGCAGCTTCCAAGGCTCCCTGTGGCCAGTCGCAGGCCCTCAGCAACCACAGCCCTCAACCACACCAACTGGATCAGTAGGACTTGTTGTCCTTCAAGCCTGTTCCTGGGGGGCCTCAATTTATCCCCCATCCTGATAAAGCATGAGCAGCCCTGCCCCAGGGGAGAGCTCCGTGCATGCAACTGCCCACTTCAGTTCTCAAAGCCCTTCCCCAGCCCTGATCTCAGCTGGTCTCCACCGCAGCCTGAGAGGCAGCTCCATTTTTCAGATGGGGAAGCAAGGCCCCAAGAGTTGGGGGAATGGATTGCCCAAGGGCAGGGTGTTGGAGCTGGGACCCATCTACCTGACTTCGAGATCAGGGTTACTGCATGTTGACCACTCCTTGCTCTCATCAAGGACCTGGTCATTGGCACAGGGTCGGGAGGGCAAGAGAGAAATCCTTGTACAGACACACAGCAAGATGGAAACTGAAGAGCTAGCTAGGGGCTGTGGAGCTCAGGGAACAGGAGAGATGTTTTCTGCCTGGGGGATCAGCCTGGACATGACTGTGTCTGAGAGACAGAGGCACAAAGATAGAAGAGGTGATTCCAGAGGGGGAATGAGGAGCAGTCAGGCACCTTCAAGGAAAGGCTGTGATATTGACCATGAGTTGAAAGCCTGTAAAGGCCCATCACAGAGAGCCCTAAAGGCCAGGCTAAGTTCTGACATTGTTGGATAGTACCGGGGAGCCATCAATGGTGCTATGCCCTCATTACCAGGACCTGCCCTGGGAACCAATTTTCTTCATTCTTGTTACTCCCTCTGCCCTCTTTGGAAAACCAGACATCACTGCACCCTCCTGTCTGAGCCAGAAGAAAGTTCCACCTTCCCCGCAGGCATGGCTATGATGTGATCCCTACCTGTGCTGTCCTCAGTGGTATCAGGAGGAGGGACAGTCCCTAGGCTGAGCCATGAGCTGAACACATGCCCCGCCCTTGAGAGCTCGGGGCCCAGGTGAGATCAGGCAGGTGGTAACAGTCACCTGGCTCCAAGACTGTAGACTCTGCGTCCTCCTCAGAAGGAGCAGCATTTCCCTCCACTCTGTTCAAGTGTCTTCTTATCCAGAGTGGTAATGGTTTTGTCACCCGGGGATTCTGTAATATCACCTTTAGCCTCACAAAGCCAAAGAGCAGTTAGGTTGTGCTGGGCTCAGAATTGTGTTCAGGGGTTGCAAACTCAGGCACCTGTCGGAATGAGGCTGGTGACATACAGGAGTGATGCAAGCTGGTAAGGACATAGGGAGTGAGGGGAGGTGGCACTTTGTCCACACTGCTGACATGTGCCCTAATTTAAGGGGCAGCTGCTGCCCAGACCGACCAGTTGTTATATGTGGCACAGTGGTCCAGTGTAGCCAGCCAGGTCTTCGTGTTTTTTAATAAAAACTGAAAACTTTAAGTTTTATGGAAACCTAATTTTTAAATGTTGGGAACTAATTTAAAAATAAAACTGAACACTGAATGAGCTATAAACAACATATCCACAACCTAGATGAGGCCTCTGGGCCAGTAGTTTGCAAGCTGTGATTTCCATTTTACAGATGAGAAGACTGAAGCTCAGAGAGGGACAGGGTCATGCCCAGGGTCATACAGCTGGGCAGTAGCAGGACATGGTCAAACCCTCTTTTCACTCTCACCAGGACCTTTTCTGCAAGGTTCACTCAGCAGACATGTTTTCAGAGCACCTGCATGCACTAGGCCCTGAGCTCTGCTCTAGGGACACAGAAGGACAAAAACAGGGACAGGCAGTTACAGTGCAGTGTGGCTATGGCATTGCTGAGCAAGCCTCTCCCAGGG